CGAGAGGAGCAGGTCCTCCTCTCTCCCATCCTCTCATTTCTCTCTCTCTCTCTCTCTCTAAACTTCTTCCTGCTTTCCTCATATGCACTGTGGGCCACGAGATATCAGCATCTCGCGGTCACAATTATCCGTCTAAAACGAAGTGGGAGCTTTTGTGCTCCCACACCGTCTGAAAAGACTGTTGTTTTGTTGGTTCTGTTTTTCTGCCCCTACATGCCCATGTAATGGCATACTCACACTGAAACTTACCTTGATGCACCTGTTTCGCGATCAGGGTCATGCTCAGGCCGTTTTCTTCATGATGCAGAGCCTGGAAAGGCAGTAGTCACGATGCATCGTGTGGGAAGAGGGATAAACAAAAAAGAGAAATACTTACCTCGTTGGCACAACAACAAACTGCGGAATGCAGACCCAAGTTTAAATCCAGCCGCAAAGGGGTGGGGCAAACCAATTCCTACGACCAGAAGCCTCACCCCACTCCTTGCACCTTGCAGGCCCGAGTTCGATTCCCATCGGGGAATCGAAAAATTTTTGTCATTTCTCGATTTATGCGCGTCATCCTTGCGCAAGGGCCATGCTCAACCCGGCGCGGCTGTTCCTGGTCGTGTGATCCTGTTAATTGCACGGCAAAGATGGTCGCGCCCAAACTGTTCCATCCCGATGGCCGCCTCCAAAATGAGCTAGGCCAGTTCGGGCGCATTCTGGATTCGATCCCTATGTCTGCAGCGTGGCGGTCCAATGTGTTCACCTACTGGGCTAACTCCTATCATGGGAGCAGAAGCAACAACCCCTCTATTTGAAGGGCGACGCCCAGTAGGCCGACCCTCCAGCCTGTGGCCCAGCAGACATTTTCCCGCTCCAGCCCTTAGCTTGGCTGGATTTATCGGCATTGGCCGGCCATTGAATTGGCCGCTTGTGCCAGGCTCAGCAATGTCCAACCTAGCTGGGTGGACCACCTGGCCCCTAAACCGTCGATGCGGTTATGGACCCCAAACAGAGTCAAACCCCACGTCTCAAAATAAAAAAATATAGGTCTCTTATTCCTCCCACGTCGCGGCTCCATACCCGGCGCGATCGTTCCTTTTAGCCTAGTTAGGCTCTGAATCACGCGGCTGCTAGCCGCGTGTCGTTCTTTAGGTAGGCTAGGTTTAGTTTTAGCATTCCCACAATCATGTGTTGCCGCGACTCTATTAAGAGCCGCGACTAACCGGTCACACTGACGACTACCACTATTATTGTCGAACGTCACAACCGTTCGAACCTATACTTAAACAGTTGTAGTCTTCTCGGTCATAGGGTAGGTCTGAATAATCTTTTGCAAACGTCAATCTCATCAAGTCCTTCAAATTAACGAAAACGTAGGACAACGTCCGACCTTGCAAACCCCCGGCAAATACCTTTGTCAAGGTATTTGCTGCGACAACATTCCAAGACCCCATTGAATGACTTCCACGTCGTTCATCATCTACTTAAACAGTCAGGATTCCTATGAAAGTTCCATGTGAAAGCAACGATCACAATACATAACAATTTGAGTGATCGTCCGAAACTAAGTCGAAACGTTTCCACCAACATATAACAATATAATAGCAAAACTGAATTTAGCCTCCAGAAGCTGTAATTTCATACAACAAAACTGGATTTAGCCTCCAGAAGCCTTAATTCCATACAACAAAACTGGATTTAACCTCCAGAAGCCTTAACTCCATATAATTCATAAGTCAAAAGAATGATACCAGATTTTGCCTATGGCAAGCCTTATCCAAACTTGGACCCAGGTCTAGCCCCAAGAAGCCTTCAATTTAGATAA